AGATAACAAGAAGCCTGCCACGGCCATAGAGTTTGTAAGCAATATAAGTCTCTATGTGTTTACTCCGTTGGGGGTCTGAGCCGCTGTGGGACTGGTGGGTGAGAGAGATTTGTCCTGACCGTGGGCCAGGCAGGACTGGAGAAAACTTCAGCTACACTCACTCTCTTTAGGCTGAGGACTTCATAGAGGTAAGAACTAGTGGCTGGCTGTTCTGCTTCTCTGATCTTTCAGATTTCACCCTGATATCTGGCTCTGGGCTTTTTATTAAAAGACCATCTAAGATTTGAACAACAGGAAGTAATACAAGAAGAGGGAAAGAGATTATGAAACTCTATTAAATGTTTGAGGAAGCTTTCTTGTACCCATACCATAAAGATAAAAGAAATTGCCAGTCACCTGTGGTTAGAGTGGCACTGGAATGTAAGTGTTATTAGGTCAGCTGTGGAGACTCTTAGCTTTGTGTTTAGGAGCCTACACTTTGTCCTAGGTTGAGTACACAGCACCTTAGGTAGAAAGAAAAATAGCCATGCTGGCAATTTAGGTGGCTGCTAGAGCTAACAAAGTGCAGGATCAGTTTGGTAGTGATTGGATGAGCACAATTAGGAGGCTGTTTAAGTGGGTAGTACAGACCAGAGACAGAAGTGAACTACAACAGCAGGAACCGAGAGTATGAAATGGTCTTTCCACAGACATAGGTGCAGCAGACATGGTAACTGAGTGGACATGAAATGGAAATTGAGAATAAATCCTTTCATTGATTGTCTCTGTGGATCACAGTAATATAAGCAGAAGTCTGGAGAATACATTTGGGTGGTGAAGTGTTTGGTTTTAAATGTATCATGTTTGAGGTGCTTGTGAATAGAGTTTCATGATCTCTTACCCCTTTTTTGACTCTCATTCCTTTTCTGTATTTTCCAGCACTCAGTTAAAACATTTAGAAGTTCCCAGTGTGCCAGGTGGGATTTTATGAGGAGTCTCTAATGTAATATCACATAAATACCATTGTACTTTTTAATATGATAAAATGTTATTTACCTGCCCAAATGTAACAAGATGGCTTCAACATTGTGCTCATAACTCCAAATAGAAAAGTGAGCAAGACAGTCTCTGAATTCAAAGATTATATAATGGACCACATATAGAAAAATTAAAAATGGAAAGTAATGCCTAGTTAGCATGTACAAAGCCCCAGGCTGGATCTCCAGTGTCAATGTCACCTCCCCACGGGAAAAGGTGACATCAGTTCAAAACCATTTACAAGGCAAAAGTTACCACAAAACAGGCAACTATACTATGCAATAATTACTTTTATTTGTTTAGATGGAAGGAAAATTTCATAATACACACTGTTTGAAATGTCTTCTTCTGTGTATGTGTGTAGTATGTGTATATGAGTGTGTGTGTGTGTGTGTGTGTGTGTGTGTGTGTGTGTGTGTGTGTGTGTGATGCAGGTATACTTGGAATGTTTTTTTTGGGGGGGAATTTTTAAACACAGCTTATTTCCATTATTACTCCTGGCCTCCTTGTACTCTTTAATCAACCAGCCTGCCTGCCTTCCTTCCCTCTTTCCTTCCTCTTACTATTTATTTATTTAATTAATGTTACATCCTGACCACAGTTTCCCCTCCTTCTTCTCCTCCCATTCCCTCCCTCCTCTCCCCTCCACGCCCCCCATCCACTCCTCCACTGTTTTTTTCAGGAAGGGGCAGGCCTCCAATAGGTATAAACAAAGCATGGCATATCAAGTTTCAGTAAGACTAAGCACCTCCCCTTGTATTAAAGCTGGGCAAGGCAATCCAGGGTGAAGAATAGGTTCCCAAGAGCCAACCAAAACTCTAGGGACAGCCCCTGCTCCCATTGTTAGGAGCCCCACAGGTAGACCAAGCTGTATAACTGTCACAGATATATGGAGGGCCTAGGTTGGTCCCATGCAGGCTCCCTGATTGTTGGTTCAGACTCTACGAATTCCTATGAGCCAGATCGGTTATTTGGTTTCTATGGGTTTTCTTATGATGTTCTTGACCCCTCTGGCTCCTACAATCCTTCCTCCCTTTCTTCAAGGGATTCCCATAGCTTGGCCCAATGTTTAGCTGTGGGTCTTTGCATCTGATGGATCAGTTACTGGATGAAGGCTCTCTGATGACAACTGTGGTAGTCACCAATCAGGCTAGGAGTCTTAGCTGGGGTCATTCTTGTAAATTCCTGGGAGTTTCCCTTGCACCAGGTTTCTACATGACCCTGAAATGCACGCCCCTCCAGTCATGTCTTTCAGTACTCTCCTCCATCTACCCCCAAACACAATCCCATAAATCCTCATCTCCACCTGCTCCCAGTCCATATTCTAGATCTTTTCTATTTCCCCTTCCCAGGGAGATCCATATGTTCCCCCTTGGGGATTTTTTTTAAATGTACAGAGGACTCTATTGAGATTATAGCATTCAGCTAGAGAGGAAAGAACCTGGGCTGAGGAAATTGTATAACTCCTATGTCACCAGGGTCCAGCTTGATGCCATTTCGATGACCAAGAGTGATGTGACAAGAAGTAAGATTAGGGTCTAAATGAATGGTCAAAAGCAGCTTTAGACTCAGTGAGTTCATGTATTAAATTCTCTCTTCTAATCCAAACATATTTCACTCAAGTTTTTGCTCAGATTGACAGGCCCTTGCAGGGATCTATCTAGAGATATCAACCTATGTTCTATCCCTGTGCTCCTGCTCTGCTGTGATCTCTCCCCGCCCGGAAGGGCTATTTCAACTGCCAACTGAAGTTCTGATACTACACTTTTTTCAGGCTCCTGTTCTTTCTTCACTTGACAGATTCCTGAAAGATGAATTAATCTCCTTTGAGTAACTGCCCAGGTCCTTGTCACAGCACACGGGGACAGCTTCCAGCTATAACATTCTGAAGAGCTGTTTGTGTGATTGCCAGCTGTGGTCTGGGCATTGTCAGCTCACACCCTTGCAATCCAATGTGTGCCCTACCGTGGCCTGACATCTCTTGCATGCCATTTTGTGTAAATGTTTCCAGGATATGGAGGTAAAGCTAAGTAATAGATTGAATTTCTTCTAAAGATACCCATAGACTTTCTTCTCGGGAAAGTAAGGGAAATTTGTAATTTTTTAGTGTAAAAAAAAATGACTGAAAATTATTATATGCTCTCAGTAAGGTTGCTTCTCAGGAACTTCAGGTTTATATATGGTGGTATGTTGTCTCATCATCTTTAAAAATAAGGTAAATTTTAATTTACTTGTACTGTCTACTAAACCTGCCCAAAGGCCAGATGTGATATTAGCCATATTATATTTCTTAGAACTATAATTTGAAAGTAGAATTTGAAATATAAATGCACATAAGCATTTTGGATAGTAATAACACATAGGGAATTCTCTATAAATCTATTATTTTATAAACATTCATTTTATTTGTTTATGTATGCCATGTCTATGTGATGCTCACAGAGGCCAGATGAGAGTCCCTTGGAGCTTCAGTTACAAGCAGTTGTGAGCCACCTGATGTGGGTTCTGGAAACTGAAATTAAGTTTTCAGGAAGAAATGTTTATTTTCTTAAATGCCATCTTTTCACCTCCAGTAAATATATTCCTACAAAAACAAAAGTGGATATGAGGCTCCTCTCCATGGGTCTAAATCTGGCTGCTATCCTTTCTCCAGATCTGTAAGTCTTTCTTGGATTGTCTTCATGAAAACCCCCTGAGTAGCCAGTTAGCTTAGTGTGGAATATTGTTTAAGTGCCTAGTTGACACATGTATTGTCTCTTTCAAGCTAAATTTGGAATTTGAACCCTTTTCTATTAATAGAATAGTCTTAGTTAGTCTTCCCATTCTCTAAGAATGCATGTGATCAAGCAATTAGAGAGTACTGATTATTTGTGGGTACCTGTCTTATCTTGCCAGTGACACTGTAAACTTAATGATGACTCTCAACCATTTAATCATGAATTCATTCAGTAAATATTTATTGAGAATGCATCCATCCTTATCCTAAGGGTGGCCTTCGTGTTGAATGTAGCTTTACACACAAACATTTACTCAATCTTCCATAGCTACTTATTTAAATATCTAAATCATTGTCTTAGATACAAGTTTTGTGAGGGAGGACTTGCTTTTTTCATGCCTGTCCCCTTGGCACCAACAATACTGAGTAGAGTAACCATTGCACTATTTGTATGTGACCATGGACACATTTTTCACTTGAGAACTTAATGATGGTAGGGCTGTGCTTTGCATCCACAAATTACCTGATCATAATCCTTTGGGCTAGATCTTTGATTCTAATAAAACAGGAAGCTGAAGTCATTTGGAAAGGAATGAGGTCCTACTGAATGAATTAGAACACCTGAGACAGTCTGAAGGCCCAAGTTCTTCCAGGAAACCCTCAGAGAAAATATCAACATGAATATCAATATTAGCACTAATGTCAACAAAATCACCAAGTGCATGAATTTGGCTCAAAATACAACAGATATGACTGAGCCCTGATAGTTTTCCAGGCTCTGCTCAAGGCATTTGGAATGTGTCAGTAGCCAAAACACTAATGCCCCTCTTGCCATCTGACAGAGTTTGCGATCTGGGTCAGGAGAAGAAAGCCAATAACCCTGGTGAATAAGTGGATTCTGTGCAGAGGTGAGTGCCAAGGGGACAGTGGAACCCAAGGAAGCAAATGGGAGGATTGTTTCAAGGAAGAAAACAGAGCTCATTGAGTAGGTAATACTCTGAAAGTGAGGAATAAACCTAGCAGAAGATGAGGAATAGTTTAGAGAGTTAGAGTGTATATCTAAGTCCAGAGAGGAATAAGATCTGGGGAAGTCAGCCATACTGTGAGAAGAAACGGAGAGTTTTGTTATCTTTCAAGTATGACTTACAATTTAACTCTTAAATAGAACTTAAATAAAGTCAAAGAAAAAGTTACTACTCACTAAGAAAAAAATTAGAAGTCATTTTCAGTAAAATGATATGAAGGTGTTTGGAGATTCTTATCTTACCATTTTTACTGATGTCGAGTTCTTTCAGATTAACTAGGCTAGCAATAGAGGTCGGCAGACTTGAGAGGTCATTATCAGGAATGCTTAGTTTCCGCAGAGCTTGACAGTTGAACAATTGCTGTAACAGAAAAGAACAACTCACTAGTTAGGCCACAGTTTTATTAGACTCACTCATACCTAAACTCAGTAGCAAATTTGAAGTAACCATTTTTTTTAACAGTGTGACAGTAAAAGAACCACTAATAAAGCCTCACTTTCCTCCACACTCAAATTGGAACAGCTTCACAACCCATCCAGTTGTTAGTGCCTTGATGTTTTTTCCCATACACAGATAAACAAAACAACAAAATGAAAACCAGGCAGACAAAAGCCTCGGAGTTACCCTCTTCATTCTCACAGCTAAAGGAATCACCTTAGCTCTCTTTATTTTGCTGTTGTATTAGATTTCAAAAAGTCTTATTTCCATTTCTTCATTCTGAATAAATACTTGTATGTTATCAAGAGCTATGGCATATCAGAGTACCTACACTCACAATCTTTTGTGTCCCCTTGCAGTGCCTCATAAATCATTAGTAGATGAAACAGGATGAAAATTCAGTCAGGCTCATTTCACAGTTCTATCATTCCAAAGTACTAGGTGAAGGAGAACCAAGTGCTACAATTGGTTCTGGAACCTAGCATTGTTGAAACCACTGGTGGGTTGAAGTGTGTTTCAGAGGTTGTTTCTTGATCTACTTGACAAGTATAGCAATGGGGTAAGGCAGCCTGCATTTTCAGCAAGACATCAATTTGGGTGATTTCATATAGGTGTTTCCAGTACTACACTGAAAAACAACTCTAATTTTTTTTTTTAAACTCTGTTCAACTCATCTTGACTACTAAAGACATGAACAGTTGGAAGAGAATTTTTTATTCATTTCTAAAAGAATTATCGTAATGAGATCCTTTCTGACATTTCTAATTCTGCTTTGCTGAACTTCCACAGATGAAGTCTGGTAATCATGACTACACAGTTGGCCAACAGTATATTTAACTACCATTTCTTCCTACACATAATTCCTTATTTATAGGAAAAAACAATTCAGCATACGGCCGTTATTTCTTAACCCATTAGCTTTTAAAAAAGGAGATCATATGACTTCTTACATAAGAGGAAATATGAAGTCTCTTACTTTGGGTTAGTCATCTTGGGTTCTTTATAAAGATTATTTGCTACTTGACATGACGTCAGAATTGCTTTTTTCAGCATCCTATATAGAAATGGACTTCCTCTTTTTATAAAACTTTGAAAGAGACATTTAATGGATTCTTTGAAAGACATTTCACCTAACCAAATAGGAAATACATGGTTACAGTCCCAGAATTTACTATCAACTCCCTTCCAGTGTGTGCTATCTAGTAAGACAGTGATGTACTGTATGAACATGCAATGTGGTTAGTTACAGCTTCACAAACAGTCAATTATCTCATCATTGATTTGGGTAAGACTTACTAACCACTCTTTTTGCTGATCACTACAACCATTTTATGAATGTTAAAACTAAAGATTTTTAAAATACAGTCTTTTAAGTCTTATTATAACAACTAACTTCTCAAGTGCACTCAAGATTTAGCAGAAGTATTAGCATTCTTCAATTTTTAATGAAGTGACATACAAATTTTTTTAAAAAGGAAACTCCTTTACATGCTCTACCGGGAAGAATCCAAGCAAGATCAGGCACTGACCCCATATCAGTGTCTGGTCAATCCTGACACTTATTGCAGTGTTATCACTGAACTCAGCAATTCTCTTGCCTGTAGAGAAGGGATGCTAAGCCATACAATTTGAGACTTGAGAGAGTGAAAGATGTTATATCAATTCTAAGCCTCACAGTTTTCTTCTACTAATGTTTATGTTATTTGGAATGTACCATACAATAAAGGGTAAGTTATTTTTGAGGGCTATCTTTTTTCCAGATATTCCTACATCAATGATTTATCTCATAATATGGGTCTTAGATTTGATGAATGAAGTCCTTGTAAAGCTATATTATCCAGAAAAGTTGGGTGACTGTTAGTAATTAAAAGTACATCATTGTACAGTATGATTGTCTGTTTTCTACTTTTCTAAACAAAACAGTCTCTTTGGAGGCACAGTCCTGCTCAGCTTTCCTGCATATCACATATTTCTCCTTCTCATTTACCAGAGGACACTTTTCTGTCCACAGTTTGTGCTGAGCCAATAATTTTGAGAGTGCTGATAATCAAAGGGAAAATGAGAAGAGTGCCGAACTCCTGCTGAGACAGGCTTTTTTGGACAGGAAGCTTTAGAGAGGTAAACAGTGTCAGTGGAGCCTGCATCAAGTTTCTCGTCTGAGTGAAGTTCTTCCCATGAGTCATGCCCTCTACAAAGCTAAGAGCCCATGCACAGCTTTCTCAAGATTCAAGTTTTGAGTGAAAATGATGTTCAGTCATTATATATATATAAAACAAACAAACTGTATTCTTCAATACAGGGGAA